TGTATGGATCGACCTCACAGTCCAAATCTGTAGGAATCTCAGCCCACTGTGCCCTGCCTTGCTGGCAAGGCGGGAAATAAAAAAAGAAGAAAAGAAATGAGAATTACGTGAGTGAATAAAAGTCAAAGAAACGAGGTACGGCCTCCTTTTCGTTCCATTGGGTGGCAGTAGGTTCAGCACTTAGTTTTCAGAGTGGTTGGTACCGGTGCCATCCTGAATTTGCCAAGCGGTGGTACCAAGCACTTTCAGGCTTGGCAAAATTATTTTCTTGGTTCGTCAAACTAGGTACGGGTGAACTGGTGGTTTAAATTACGAGCCAGCGTTCCTCCGGGGAGGTCGGGGATCTTGGACCCAACACAGGAATTAAACCACCTACTTGGCCCAGCTATCGGTCGCGGGAAAAAAATAGAGTAGAAACATTTCTAGTCGGAATAGAGTAGAAACGTTTCTAGTCGGATGAATTTGGGCGCTCCTGTAGTGGTCCGTATTGTGGCTTGTATACGGGCACAACTTTAGGAAGTACTGGTGGTTTAAGGCACTTCAAGCAAAAATGGGTGGTGAAGATTCTAACCAAACAATCCCTGGCAGGGGACAAAAGGGCACCACAAGTGGTTAACAGGGAACCCCACTTTCATCTTTCAGCCCATATGTTAGCCTCCCAAACACTGCTAAGTTTGGTCTTTGTTGGAGCCCGGGAGATTACTATTTTGGCAAGCTCTGAAAATCCTGATCATCCTGAAAAACTGTTGAGGGGTGAATTTTTGGATGGAAACACATTTTTGCCTCAGGGTTTTTGGCTCCTTTTGGTCTTTTCCCCCCCTTTCTTATGCTGTTGGTTAATTTGCTGTCCGCTCTTTTAGAAAAAGCAGGAGATAGGAAAGTGACATGTATTGGTGACAAGTCTGGTGTAAAAGGTGTGGGAGTTTTGTTATAAACACCATGCAATAACCCTATGACTGAGGCAAAAATTCTATGTCAATGGCGAAGGTCAAATGTGCAATTCAAGGTAACCCTGATACGGCCTCGTTAATCAGATGCAAGGTGGCAGACATCAATCACATCCGTCTGGTGTGGAAGGACTGGCACAACTCGGAATCAGCACTGGGGAGGCAGATCACTCAAGTGGAGCAGAGTCCCATATGGTCGTGATGGTCAGTAGTGTATTCAACAACAATGGATGAGAAAGCAGAGGGGCGGTTACACAGACTTAAGGCCGACATAGACGTGGAATTCCAGTATCTTTCTTTTGATTCCTGTTTAAAATAGCAAAGCTGACAGGTTCAGCGATGGAACCTGAGAGGAACTTGTGAGAAAGGCAAGCTGATTGTCAATCCTTCTTAAATATGAAGCAATCAATGCTGTTCAAGGGTGCTTTGGCGGCTGAACAGAAGTAAGCGTGAGGCTCGGTGAGGGTGTAAATGTTCTATATTCATGCCTTGCCGGAAGGAACTGGGTTGGCGCTCCCCATAAGAGATATGGAGCCAGGACCATAAGGACCTGTTTGAACAAAAAAAAAGAGAGAGAGAAAAGAATGCAGAGATGATCCTCACCCAAAAGATGTTTGTGTTGCAGTCCTCTACAACATTTTTCTTCTCTTTTTCCTTCTTCGAGCCTGGCTGAATGTGATACACTTGTCTGGGTGGACAATCCTGGATAGGCCACGGGGGAGAGACTCCGATATCTGGGAGACAGCACATGAGGACGAACGTCCTCCTCTTTTTTGTTGTCCCCCTCCCCCCCCCCCGTTTCAGAGGAAAGGAGGAAGTCAACCGGGGGGAATCAGTCATTGTTGTTACTTGGTGGTATGTGCATGTGGAAGGGCTTGCTTTGGCACATGAGCAGGCACACACCGAAGTTGGTGCGACATGCACACAGCAGGACGACGACAACCTGGACGACAATGATTGATTTCCCAATTATTGTCGTTGTCCTCCTGGTTGAAGGATGGCAAATGGAGGCAGACAAGTGGCGGCATCGATTGATTGTGACAATGGTGATCCATTTGTCGATTGTTGTTCTTGTCCTTCCAGTTGAAGGATGACAAATGGAGAAATGCCAAGGAGGAAGATCAGCATCCTCCTCCTCTTCCTCTTCCTCCTCCTCCTCAGCTACACCTTCTTCTTCTTCTTCTTCTTCTTCTTCTTCTTCTTCTTCGTTGTCATGGTCTTTGTTCTCCTTGTCCTCCATTTTGTCTTCACTCCGCTTCCTGCTCCCACTGCTCCTGCCTCCATTTCAACAGCCAGGGCCTGTGCTTTGATGTGGTTCCCCCCGTGCCAAAGTGGGCACTCATTGAGGAGGAGGACAACGAGCTAGGGAGCAGTGTCACCTCTCCCTCCTCACCTCTCTTCCTCTTTCTGATCCTCCGTGATCCTTGTCAGAGGAGGAGGAGGATTCCTGGTGGACTTCCTTCTGTGGGAGGACGGAGAAGAGGAGGAAGGATGCTCATTGTCCTCACAAACGTTCTCTGTGGTACCCTCCTGCTTGCTGTCCTTTTCCTGTTCATCCTCTTCTGTCTCCACCAGCTCGTCCCCTTCTCGTCCTCAGTTGGTCGCAAAGAGCCACCCGTTTTGACACGCTGAGTGACCCAACTGCCGTTGCCCCCCCCGCTGCTCCACCACTGCTCCCTCCGCACCTTCTGTGCGTAAAGTTGTAAACCATTTAGAGGAGGGCACAGGGTGAACTTTGATGTGTTGATACCAGAGCGCAGGGAAAAGGTTAATGGCCCCTTTGTGATATTTCGGTACTGGGCATACTGGCAATAGCGAGGTGCTTCGAAAACATGTATGACTGAAATGACATCCAGGGTATGGTGTTAAAGACAAATTCCATTTCCGGGGTGTATGACTGAGGTTGCTTTTTAGAGGTCATATTGTTAATCCAGACAAAAAAGTGGGGCATTCCATTAGTTCTCTTTCAGAAAAAAGAAGGAAAAAAGGGCGATCTAACATGGTGTTTCTAATAAATAAATATCTTAGAACATGGTTGCCGCAGTTATGGTATGCCTTTATTTCATGTCATACATAGAGATACGTCTGTGGCTACATATTACTGGTGTATATAAATGATAATTACTATCATAACAGCTATCACGGATGCAGTTTGTAATCCCTCCAGCTTACACGGGACCTTGGCAGTGTCTTGGTGTGGTATGCACGGCTTCCACACGGGCCCCTCCAGCGCCCAATATTGGTTCAGGGGTTGAAGTGTGCGAGTTTGGGGTGTATTCCCTCGTTTTTGGGGTTGTCTGCATTTTTCTGAGTTCATTTTTGGTTGTGTTCTCAGTATTTTGCGTGTTCTGAAACTTGAGTTCATTTTTGTCTGTTTCGTTTCAGTATTCCCAGCTGACTCAGATTTTTGTCCTCTTGTGAGGACACCTTTCCTGCTTCAGCAGAGGAGCCTGGGCGTCCAGTTGGGACCCAGGCAAGCCGTTTTGAGGACAGGAATACAGGACCAGGTTTGGGCCTGCATCCTGAACCGTCAGTCAGCATTACCATCAGACGGCCCAGGATGCAGACTGACGCAGGATCCGGTAGGCCCAGTGCTATGTATAGCTGGGCCAGCCTCCATTGGGTAGGCAGTATTCTGGAGTCATTTGACCACGCTGTGGGAGGAGCACTGGAGTTTTGCTGCAGAAGGCTAGGGTAGAGGGATAGGAGGACAGGGAGTAGACACCAAGAAGTGTCGAGGGAGAGAGGACTCATTTGAGGGCTTACCTGTCAGACACCATAGCTGGAGATTGTCTTCAGGCCACTCCACCTGCAGCACAGCTCAAGACGGCGTCTTTTCACTGGTCAGTCTCTGGTTACGAGAGAGGGAGAGAGAAGAGACTCATCTTCTTCTTCCCTGGTTCTGTCCTCCATATGCATCTATTCTTCTTCTTCTTCTTCTTCTTCTTCTGTGTGTGTGTGTGTGTGGGTGGGTGGGTGGGTGCGTGTGTGTGCGTGCGTGTGTGTG